TTCCAGGGCGTAGGCGGATGTATGTCAATCCTCTCATAAACACTCCTGTTATCGCAGCTTACTGACAGCTGCAGCGACATTCTCAACCATGGTGGGAGGTGTGATCAGCGATATTTACCATGCGGAAGACCGGAATACCCCCATGGCACTGTTCTCTGGTGCTGCTCTTTTCGGTACTGGACTGGCCCCGATGCTGGCTGGTGCCGTTGTGCAGCACACCACATGGCGATGGGTCTGGTACTCTCATGCCATCGTCTCAGCCGTCTTTGTTGTTATCATCTATTTCTTCTTTAAAGAAACCCGAGGCAGTGTGCTTCTGAGTCGGAAGGCAAAAGCACTCAATACGTATTATGAAAAACTGGAGAGTGCTGGTCATTACGGAGTCATCATGTCTGATAAGGAGACGGTCAAGCGCATCCGGTGGAAGGTGAAGAGTGATGAGGAGAGGGCATCTTTGGCACAGATGATCAGTATCTCGTGCTATCGACCATTCCGTGAGTTGTCATCCATCTACTATCCGTCGAACGCCATACTAACGCGGGAACAAGACTTACTTGTGACCGAGCCAACCGTGTTCTTCTTCTCTCTGTGGGTATCCTTCAGCTGGGCAGTTCTATATCTCCAATTTGGCTCCGTCCCGCTGGTCTTCAAGACCAACCACGGATTCAACGTTGAGCAAAGCGGCGCCGTCTTTACTTGTATGTCATTTACCATCCCGGATATAACCCTTGCTGACGGCTTCCAGCCATGTGCGTTGGTGTCATCATCATAACAGTCATAAGCATCTACCAAGAGAGCATCGCGCGACGCTTCGTCACTCTCCCCAAATCCGCCGAGCGACGACTCTACTTCGTCTGTATCCAGTCCCTGCTCATGCCAATCGGTTTGTTCTGGTTCGGCTGGACGTCCTACCCCTCCATTCCATGGATTGTCCCAACGATAGCAGTTGGATGCGCAACCATGGGCATCTTCTCAGTCTACCTAGCAACCTTCAATTATTTAGCAGACACCTATCACCGATATGCCAGTTCGGCGATTGCGGCCCAATCCTGCTGTAGGTTCTCTTTCGTATGCTGTTGCTCTTGACACTGACCCGATGGCCAGGTCGGAATCTCCTCGGTGGTGTCTTTCCCCTGGTAACCAACGCCATGTTTACGAATCTTGGATATCCGGGTGCTTCCAGTCTACTCGGTGGAATTGTAAGTTACCGCCTCTGTGAAAAGGGAGTCGACGCTGACCTTGACAGGGAGCCTTGCTGTGTATCGTCCCATGGGTCCTTCTGCTGTTTGGACCAAAGATTCGCGCCAGGAGCAAATTTGCGAGTGTAAGTGTCCACTATACATTCTGCTGGGCTCAACTAATTGTACCAGGAACTTGCACACTAGTTCATTATAATCCACGATAGACTATATACATAATGATAGAGTTGATATTTAATTCAACTACCTTTTGAATCCCAAACTCCGTTATTACATACCATCACAATCAAACAACCCACTAGAAAGGACCTGACTATGTCACTGGATATAGCGCATCTTCAACACGGTCATACATACCTGACTTCAAGTAGTAACCGCCGACCCCGAACCCCCACCTCCTCTCTTCTGAATATCCCTCAACCCCTTCAACAACCTCTCAAACTGATCCAAACTCCCCGCCCCAGGGATCTTCCTGATCGTCACCTCCTTATGCTTCCTCGTCCACCCCTTCGCACTCGGGCTCAAATGCTCAATCGTATGCACCGCCACCTCAAGCTTCGGATCCAGCAGCGCGCTCACCTCGCGGTGCGCAGCGCTGAAGAACAAGGGATCCACCTCGCCGAGGAGCTTGCATTCGGCCTCGAGCGCCTGTGATTCGATCTCTGGGGTGGTGGTCGAGGGGTCGTAGGAGGAGGTGTGCCCTGCGACGGCGTCGTCGGTGCCGGACTGGGTGTTTTCGGCTCGTTCTGGGTGGAGGGTTTGGCGGTCGAGTTCGTCCGTGCTGGGTCGGGGATGGAGGGAGCGGGTGAGGATGGGTGCGTAGAGGTAGAACGGGGGTCGGGTTGTTGATTGTGTTGTGCGGATGAGATTTCGGAGCATTGTGCAATTAGTATGTGTTGGCCATGGATGATTAATTTGTTTGAGGCGAGGTGAGGTGCGGTCTCCCTGTTTAAATCCCTGGGAATATACTTTGGGGAACCAGTCTGGGGAATGCGGGGAGGCGAATTCATCACATCTTCTCGGCGAATCGAATGCTATCGCTGACATCATGAAGCTGCCTACCTATAATTGGGTCTCGATCGGGATTTAACTGGGATGATGATCTCATGATGCGGACAAAGGTTGTTGATGGTCTGGACTGATGTATCGAGTGCTGATTCGACTGTCGCCAGGAGGCATAGAATAAGCAATCCTCGAATTTTGAACATAAGAAAAGCGACATCTACAAATAATACTTAGGGATCACTTTATAGATTTGTCGCAGAGCAATAACTGCTATCCAATAGGCTCAGCGATCTGGCTCTCTGGTGCCTGACACCCTGACCCACGGAGCCCAACGCTGCGACAGATTACGCATGGTCGAGTGAATATGATCTACTATGTACAGAAAATATGAGAACAGATGAAGATAAAATTACAAGACGACGCCAAACACACGCTCATCATTAACCCCCAATGACCATAAAAGCCATCAAGCCGACCCATCCCACCGCGAAGCCAATAGTCAAGATGCTAGCACCCGCTTTATCACCCGTGGTGATCTTGCGGGTAGGAGTGGTCTGCCCCGATTTATCTCCCGAGCCCGCAGTCGGGTCGCTGGTGCTATTCCCGCCTGTGGTCGAGGTCACTGGTCCTTTGTGTTTTGTGGTGATAAGGTTGACAGACAAGACGTCCGTGACGCTGATTTGCTCCTCCATACCCGTCCATCCATCCCATTTGGACGTGTACCATCGCACTCCGCAGGAATTGTTGCCGTTGCCCGTGCAGGTTGCGCCGGCCGCCACGGCTGATCCCTGCAGCTTGGGGAGAATCCTGTCGTAAGTGGAGGGGACCAGGAGAGCCGTAAACGCCAGCCAGGATGCGACGAGGCCCTTGAAGAGGATCTCGTTGTTGTTGCAGACTTCGTTCGGCTCGCAGAGGACCTCGGACATGATGTTGCCGCCGTATTTGGTGGGGAAGAAGAGGTCGAGCGTGTTGTTGAGCAGGCCGTCGACGGCAGTTGCCCACTTCGTGTTGGTTCCGTTGGTCTAACTCGTCAGTATCTGGTATACTCTCTGGTTGGAGGTCCGGGAACGTACGTAATTCCACATATATGCCGCGCCCATCAGGTAGGCCCCGTAGTTATAGGACCATTGATTATTCCCCTGGCTCTCACAACCGTCCTCGATGTTGGTGGAATCGGCAACGCTCCACGTTTTGTTGTTGAGCAGAGGCGACGAGCAACTCCAGTCCCATACTTTCTCCGCCCATTCGTAATATGTGTGGTTGTTGGTGTAACGCGCCAGACGGGCGGCTAGCTGGAACAAACCCCCGTTGGAGATGGCGTTCTTCATTGTATACCCCGCTTGGTACGTGTAGATCTGCCAGCGCAAGCCTCCTCCGCATGTTGACGTATCCCACCGATCGACCTGCGTGTTGTAGACGCCTTGCGCGAGGGAAAGCCAGGAATAACCTTCCGAGCGATCGGGAAATTGTAACTCTGCGGCCAGCATGGCTGCTAGACCCCAGAACATTTGATCGTCGTTTCCCTTGGCTGGTCAGATACATCGCGCTTTGCGTTTGTTCAATACCGTGCTTACCAAGTAGCTACTGTAGTTGGAAGGCATGTAGTCTCCTTCTCCAGCTTGCCATTGCAAACCCAAGCTCACTTCGCTGTTGTAGGTGTGGTCGCCGGTAAAGTACTGGTATTGCAGCATCGCCATGAATAGGGCACTACCCTCCCACCATTTCGTCGGAAACGCACCAGGGATCTGTCCGGACTCGTTGCCATGGTAGTAGCTCATCGCGCCGTAAGCAGCCGTGCTGGCAGCGTTTTTGATGGATTCTACTGTGCTGTTAGTCCGGCAAAGCAGGTTGCAGAAAATAACACATACGGTCATCGTTGATATTGACGTCGATTGCCTGTGCTAACGATGAGAAAATCAGTGTTGTCCAGAGGGCATTCCACCCCAATCGTGGTAATGATTGTAAGCGCATGGCGATGTTCTCCTGATGTGAAGTCACCGCAGGACGGGAGGTCCAAGGCGAAGAAATCCTGATAAGAGAAGAACAAAGAAGCCGTCAAATGAGGCCGGCGCCAGGAGATTAGTCTCTCAAACTGCCCATTCCCTGCAACTACGTAACATACTGAAATCAATCGATGAAGCAGCGCATCACTATTGGACAGTTGTGGGGCTGGGTGGGTAAACAGTTTGATGGCTGAGGCCTTTGAGTGGGCGCTATCTCCAATAATAGGCCCGCCGCGTGTCGAGCCGACGTATGCCGTTCAGCCAACAAAGAGTTTTACGATCTAAATGTAATTAGTCGACACAAATGCCAGTCTTTCCCTGCCATGTATATGATTGTTCATTACTAATATATGTTTATCTGATTAAAGGAAACATGGAAACGGCTCGAGAGAACATCCTCCAGGTACCAAATCTTGGAAAATTCAATTTTGAAATCAAACCAAGAGAATTCTGTGATTGGTTGACAGCAAAGTTCAGTGTGTGGTCCATGTGGGCCACGTCCAAAATAACAGAAGAACTATTGGATAACCAAAAAGCTTCGAAAGGCTTGTTGTTTCTGCCTGGTGGGCATTACCATGCATTACGATAATTACGACCACAACAGCCAATTACATCCACGGAGCATCACCATCCAACGCCTTGAGTGTCCAATTTCGCAAGAGGAGATCAGGTACGCTGACAATAAAAGGATATCCTAACCCCGATCGCATGGTAAAGTCAGCATATGCAGTTCTGATGCGATGCCCACGATCACCAGTGTCGGTCTCTGGATGCATAATTTGGACTTCAGCATTCAGCTTGAAGCAGGATGACGGTCATAGAGGATTCGAATAAGCGCATCACGACTCTTCTGTGAGTTTGTCTCATCCCTCGATGCCCACCAGAGCGGTGTTCGGCCCTTAATGTCCCCTCTCGTAACATCAGCGCATCCTTGGACAAGGAGCTCGACACATCGCTCATTTCCCTTTTGTATCGCCCAAACCAGCGGGGTTTGGCCTGTATGATCCGGCAAGTCGACTTCTGCGCCATACTGCAGCAAGATCTCGACAACCTTGTAGTGGCCTTTCTCCGCGGCCTGTGACAGAGCGGTTCGGTGAGCGTGATTGACGCGGTTTATTCCGGCAGACCTTGCCAGAAGACTTAGAATCGTTTCGTGGTGGCCATTATGCGCGGCAATCATCAACGCTGTGTCGCCATCTGCATTGGTGGAGTCAATACTTGCACTGTACTCCAACAGAAGACAGACAACTGCTGTATGGCCCTTTGAAGCCGCCAAAAGTAAGGGAACAAGCGCCGACTTGTCGCGTGGCTCGACATTTACTCCTTTCTCGAGGAGCAGGCGAACAGCTGATCCAGATCCATTGATGGCGGCGCAATGCAGGGGAGTCTCGTCCATTGCGTTCTTCGCTTCCAAATCAGCACCTGCTTCGACAAGCATTTTTACAATATTCGAAAGAACAGTGTGCCCGCATTCGACGTCGCCTTTCAAGATATGATCGGAATTTAGGGTTTCGCGTGACGGACCTGTACCATGGGGTGGCTCTGAGGCATACTTCCCTTTGGTCTCTTCCCTAAAGGCCAAATGAAGGACAGTCTCATGGTTATCATCTCGGGCGTCAAGCCTGGGTCCGTGCTCCAGAAGTTGCTTAACAACTGCGGCATTACGTCTGTATACCGCCAGCATAAGGGGCGTTCGCCTATCATTACCTACCGCATCGATACCGGCAGATTGGTTAAGCAGCCACTTTACGACGGGCAAATTTCCCATGCTTGCTGCGCGTTGAAGTGCCGTCTCACCGTACGGATAGAGTCGGTCAATTTTGCCCTTCTCATGTATCAACTCCAGGAATTCTGCATCACCAAAGGCAACCGCAGACGTCACCGCGGACCGAAGGCTATCATCAGCAAGATCCACGCCCTCGGTGTGTCTAAGAAGGAGCAATACCACCTGAAGATGGTGATTTCTGGCAGCATATGTCAAAGGCGTCCTGTAACAGGGGAGACGATAGTCGGCGTTCCTTTTCAGCAATGAACGTACTTTATGTTCGCTGCCATGCTCAGTCGCAAATGAGAGTGCTGTCCGTCCCCAACAATCTTTTGCATTGACGTCGAGACTCTTTTTCAGCGCCAAATCGAAAAGGCCGTCTCGTCCTTGGTGCGCCACCTGTATCAATGGGGTCCACCCTAGGCCATTTATCCGTGTATTAACGTCTGCTCCTTGGGCCAAGAGCCGGTATGCAAGATCATGTTGTGCAAAGATAGCAGCATTCAGCAAGGTAGTAGATGATTCTCGCAAGTTAGAAGAGGCTTCTCTTGCTTGGATTGCGTCCAAGAGCAACCGTACTTTCTCTTTGGCCCTCCACATGCATGCACACTTTAATGGTGTGTCACCATCTTTGTTTGGGACGGTGAAATCCGCTCCGGCATCCAGAAGGAGCTTCAAAATTCCCGCTTCAATCCGGTCGCTTAGCGATAGATGTAGAGCACTCTCCAGCCATCGGTTAATCGAATTCACATTCGCGCCATGCTTGATCAGAAGAGAGACGGCCTTGATTGAATTGGCCGATGTGGCAGCATGCAGAGACGTCTGACCTCCATGCGCCATTATGTCCGCCCTAGCTCCTCTTTGCAGCAAAAGCTCAACAACCGCTTCCTGTCCCATTTCTGAGGCAAGATAAAGGGGAGTGACCTGGTGTGCGTCAGTCGCATTGATATCTGCTCCAAACTCCAATAGGAGCATCACACCCGATATGTGCCTCTCCATTACAGCATAAAACAATGCCGTTTGCCCATCTCTATCTCTTTGGTCCACGTCTATGCCTCGCTGAAGAATTGACTCGAGCAAGGCTGTCTGCTTCCCCCGCACAAACCCAATCACAGGACTTTCCTCCAGAGAACGAACATAGTTAAAATCAGTCATATTATCCAGCAATAACTTGGCAGCCTCAGTGTGTCCCCTCTCGGCTGCAATCAGCAACGGTGGGGCTCCATATATAGAATCATCTGTCTCGAAGTCACCGCTTCTTGTTTGTGTACAATTGGGGTCGACGCCAGAGTCCAGTAACCAACGAATGATCTCTGTCTGTCCGGTCCGTGCAGCCTCACGCAAAGCAGCCTCCCCGTAAACGCAGTTGAAGTAGCCCTTAGGTGCGTAATTCATGATCCGGTGAATAGTGTCAAGGCGGCCCTTTCTTGCAGCCCATTCGAAGACATCACCTTCGCCGTTCTTGGTACTGACGGCTATAGAATACAACGATGGCATGAAGACATTGTAAAGATGTCTGCATGTTCGCGCAAGGGCATTCCACGAGCGAAGCGGAAGTGACTCTGCGACAAGTAAGAGAATCTCATATGGTAGGATCAGCATCCGGCTATCCTGCGTCAAAGCTGGTGGTGGATTCAAGTCTCCCATTTCTCCCATGGCGATGATGCTGTCTTAGAACTTCTTAAAGACGAAGAGGACAGAGTAGTATGCATGGTAGAAGATGAAGTGCGTAAAGAGGTAAGTATGAGGTCATGTCGACACGGTGACTCTGACAGCGCAGGTGATAGAAATTGTAGCGAATATTCACACTTCAAAGCAAACATCTGACGTGGGATTTGAAATCTGAAGCCGAATGACTCCTTGCTACTTCACTCTTGTAGTTCATTTCCTACGGTACATTTCAGACGGGAAAATCATAGAGATGATTAGTCAAAGATATGCACAGGGCACTGCCTAATCAGGTATTGTTGACACTGCCAAGAGTCACTGGGAGGATCAGCCATTCACGTGATGCTGCAAAGGAAGTATATTCATCATCCGTCGACCAAACCTAAAGAAAAAAAGCATTTTCCTTTCTCTTCGCAATCCCGAAAACCTTGGCATGGAATCAATCCAGGGTTCAAAGGTCATATAAATTGGGTTAAGTGACTGAGCCGCTCTGCTTCGAGATAGCTTGCGTTCTCATGCAACATGGTCCATATCACCGCTTTGCCCAGCGAGCTTCTTACTCTCATTGTCTCCTACGTCGATTCATCATCTTGGAAAAATTTGCGCCAAACATGTCGTCTTCTCTCGTATGTCACTGCTCAGTTGCTGTTTGAGACCTTGAAACTGTATCCTACACAGGACAGCTATGAGATTATGGATGAAATCTTGACCGGTTCAATTTTGGAGGATGCGGTCAAAAAGGTGTATATCAACACACGTGAACATCCATATGTTAGTATTTTCTTCTGAACGTCCAACGAGTGGTATATGCTTACAGAGCTAGGAGTCAGATGATGAGGAAGAAGCCTACTTTCCCGGAGAATTTGAAAACAGAATTCCACGCCTCAAGACCTGGTCAAAAGTGCAAAACGTTGTCTTACAATTTGACAAGCGTTGCGGCCTGTCTAGGCATCATTGGATTACCAAACCTCCTCAGACAGTCGCCTTTCGCAAGAAGGCCCTCAGTGTCTTCTTTGAATGGCTGGCTTCATTCGAGGTGCCTCTGCAAGCCTTGGGTATTCAGCATCTGCAGGATATCAACATCAAAGACGACGAGCTATCTGATAGAATCACTAAAGTGCTGCGGAATCTGCGAGCTCTTCGCCTAAGCATTGTGAGCGAGCACAATACTGCGACAACAGAAGATCCTCAAGAACTTTGGAACCAGGACAGATTCAGTCTATTTCCCGAGTCGCGATCGTTTTTTACAAAACTTCCGTCAGTGTGGCTGAAACCAACCACATCCTCTCTTGAACACCTGACCCTTTTCTGCGACACGTGGTTTGGGTTTCGCCCAAAGCTTGAATTGAGCAAGGTCCACTTTCCGCATCTCAAAAGTCTTGTTCTGGGAAATTTTACCTTCTTCAGAGACTCCCAGCTAGAGTGGATTCTCTCACATGGCGCCACCTTGAGTGAATTGTCTCTGGACGATTGCATGATCCTCTATGATCTGTGTCTTTTTGAAAACAAGCTGGGTGAGTATTCATTCAATGAAGACGAGATGGAACTCCGCCTTGAGGATGACGGGGAGGCAGGGCACTACCGCTCCTACAACAAGCGTTGGCATCATTATTTCGACGCTTTCCGAACACGGCTGCCTCGTCTGCGCCAGTTTCGCATTGGGACTAGTGATTGGACGCATGGTGTACCATTTGAGGCGGAATCAGAAATGAGAATCGGCTTACTCGACGAAAGGTATGGGGTATTCTATGATGGGTGGGTGCCGACTCCATACGTCGATGTCAGTTATTGGCCTGAACCGTGGGAAAGAGGTCCACCGAAGTGCAATAAGGAAGATCGCAGGTCCTTACGCTTACTGTTCGACCATATTGGGCAAGAAGTCGAGGAGAGTTGGACATTGCACGGGATTCGGGTTAAAAATCTCATAGAGGTCAGGTCATGATGCTCTGTTTGAATTCGGAGAGAGCTAGACATGTTACGGTAACTAGTACATCCAGTGCACTGCATGCGATAGCATCTGAGAAGTGATCAAAGCTGAAAGTACATCATTTCTACAGAGCGGTCTCAGACGCAGAGTATGACGTACATGATAAGAGTGGGATGTCAAGTAGTACATCAGAGCTCTTTCCTACCACCGGAGGACAACTTCACTTTCATTATCATTCCATCTACCGGCTTTGCCGTCACTTGCATTGTCTAGCTTGAACGTCAATGCTGTTGAAAGGTCCCAAAAAAAGACTGGCAAACTCACGTTGAACAATTTCGACTTGACCTCGTACTGCCCTTGCGGATCGAGAATTGGCTCCCCTGCACTGTCCCTCGCGACCTCACCGAGCCCAATCTTCACAAATTCGTACCGTCTAACCGCACAAGCCAGAATGACTTGCGCCTCAATTGTCACAAGTCCCTGGCCAATACAGCTGCGCGGTCCTCGCTCGAACGGTCGCCATGCGCTGGACGGTATGCGATCAGCACCCGCATCACCGAGCCATCGCTCCGGAAAAAAATCATCCTTCGATTCCCCGTAGACAGTCTCATCACGATGAATGAGCGTCTCGCAGTTGTACATCAGGATTCCGTCAATGCACAGCGACCTTCCATCTGGCAGTTGAATATACGCATCCGATCCCTCGGGCACGAGTCTCCCCGTTCCCGACGAAGGGTATACACGGAGTATCTCTTTGATCACGGCGGTGGTATACTGCAACTTGCTGAGGAGTTCTCCGCCATTCGGCGCAAGAAGCTTATCACGAACTACTGCCGGGGAAGGATCAGGCCCAAAGACGTCGTCGAGTTCGCGGCGGATGGATTCAAGAACACGAGGGGTGCGGCTGAGCTCATAGAATGCCCACTGCAGAAGGATGCTAGTCGTGTCATGACCAGCAAACAAGAACGTTTTCAGCTGATCGCAAGTCTGATCAAGGACATGGGCATCCAGGTGCTCGATACCCTGTAGACTGAGGGCGAGGACACTGCGAGACTTTTTTTCGTCAGTGCTGGCTTCCTTCAATTCGGCGAACTTGCGTTTGATGTGGTTTTTGATGATGGCATTGAGTGTGCGAGCCAGTGTATATTGCTGCCATATCAACAAGGGGTTCAACGCTTTTGCGCGGACTGAGCTCTTCCGGTAATAGCTTGCAGCCAGCTCGTGGTAGAGCCTGACCATTTCGCTCTGCTTATCTAGGGGGAGCTGGGCTCCCAAGTCCTCGTCCATTGTCACTGCGCCTACACTGCTATGTGAGCACCAGCACGTTTTTAAGAGACAGTGAGATCCGTACCAATAATATCAAATGTGAGATTGGTACATGTCTCAGCTAGGCTAAACTCTTCACCAGACTGTGCATAACGATCAAGCGTCTCGAAAAACGGCACCGTCTTGTCCAGTATGCACGGAAGCAAGGTCAATAAATGCTGAGGCGCAAACCCAGGATTGAACCGTTTGCGAAGGCTTTTCCATTCCTCGCCCTGTCTTTATGAGCAAACCCTCCATATTAAGCATTCTAGCTAAGGGTTGAATATACTTCGGAAGTAAGAATCGAATGAGGGCCCAACAGATACTTATAAGCTTGCAGCGTCGGGGTCTTGGGCATACCATACGGAAACTGCTTCGAGCTCCTGGCTACCTGCTCTGCAACCTCATGGCTGCAGACGATACCCATAGGATGCTGTATCGGGCGTGCATCGAGGAGATACAACGGTGGGTTACCAAGGTGAGCTTTGATTTCCGCGAATACATGATCTTCTCTGTATTAGTTTGTGGTGTAGGAGGTAACATGCAAGATGAAACTTGCCAATATGCCTCTTCGGCTCACCGCGGGAAATAAAGGTGTTGAGATCTTTCATATGGCCCCATACGCGCGACGGCTTTGGCTGTGGCCATGCTGCGAATTGTTTGGTGCGATAGTAGTCCAGCTTATTGAGTAGCCAGAAAGCCAGCAGCGGAAGTGCCGCTATGACGGAAAGAATTAGAAACATGTCCGCAGAGATGATCCAAGTATCTTGAGCTGGGTGGTGAGAGAAAGAAAGTCGGACATCGGAGAATGTAGTCGCGTTCGCATATTCATGCGGGGGATCCTTGGCGGTCTGCAGGATGCATCCTGGTAGAGGCTGAGCTATCTTCATTGTCATCCAGGTGCAATATTATTTGGCTCTTAATGTAGGCGATTGACTGGCAGCATCAAGCAAACAGAGGTCTGCTGCAAAGAACCAAATACTGACCGTGAGGTTTACCAAAGGGGTAATGAAGCGGCGAACTATATATTTGTACACGACAGAGGAGAGTAGCCATCCACTTGGTGCACAAGATGAGGAGTTAATGGGTATGAAGGAGCAATCAATGGCAAGTCTTAACGCTTATAACCCCTCATTATTTAAGGCCAGACAATGTACTGTATGATTTCCGAGTAGTAGTAGAACGAAGCACTGTAGCACACAATGCGAAGGCGTGCAGAATATCAATTATTGGTTGCGTTCATATCGCAAGCAAATTGGCCGGATGGCGCAATGGTAGCGCGTTGGTTTTCGGCACCAAAGGTTGCGCGTTCGAATCGCGTTTCGGTCGTATCTTTTTGTTTTTTTTTGTTTTTCCTCCTTTCGCCTCGGTTCGGCTTTTATTCTTGGACCTATCTACACCTTCATCTTTGAGTCTTAAATTTCTGGCTATTCGATTTGATTTCCTATCAATCTCAACTCATTGTCATGTCAACCAATCGAAGCTTTTAATGTCTAAATAACAGAAGGTCATCATTCATTAGATGCTGATACGCGTGGATCAGCCAACAAGCATCACGGAAATTGTGAAAAATAACTCTCATTACGGAGAGGAGGATCGAGCCCGATGTTTGGGCTGTTATCTCCTGGCGGGATAACGTTTGCAAAGGACATGCCGGATTCCAAAAAATTGTAAAAGTCGTCAGTTTCGTTTAGTGCAAAATCAGCATTCGAAACTGGTTGTTCCGCTATGGCGGATTCTGAAGTGATTACTCTGGACAGGTCGTTCTGAGTTCCAGGAGCGGTGATATTGTTCAATTCCTCAATCATGCGACCGGCAAGAGCAGAGCTATCTTGCAACTGATGCAGGATTTCTGAGTATTGCTGGAGCATTCTTTGACTCGCTTCGTTCGTTTGAGGGCAAGCCGATTCGACAGTCTTGATATGAAACTCCACTGCGGGCATGAGAATAGCGATGCTGGAATTAGGAAGCAGGTCGATGAAGCCAAAGCGATGCAGTTCATCGAAGACGAGGCTGATTTTGTTTAGGATGTGTTCCTCTGCGTGGCTGTTCCTCCCCACACTGCGAGTGCAGACGACATACGCTGAGGCGAGATAAAGCAAGAGCATCCAGGCACGATGGACAAGTATGAATTTTTCCAGTTCCCTGAGAGCTGATGAGGTTGGTGATTGATGACGAAGCGCGGGTGGCAATTCTGCGTGCCATCTGCCCAATCTCTGGGCAAGCTCTGCGATTTCAGTAGGGGAAGCCTTGTTCTCCGCATTTGCAAGTCCTCCCTCGCGACTGGTTGAGTCAGACAAGTCTCCTGATGGTCCAGGAAATTGTCCTATTTGACAGAGCTTGGATTTCTCAATGAACAACCTCGCTAGGAACTGTTGATACTGCATGTCGCGGAGGAAGTCGCAGCTCCCTACCAATGTTTGGACGTTGGGAGATAAAGCACCAAATCTGAAATCGTGCGTACTGGGCAGAGGGGTGTCGCATAGATCGCCGTTTTCTGGAACATTCATCAAGGTAAGAAGATTACTCGATGTTATTCGCACATGATTGCGTATGGACCACCACGTCCGTCTCCATATTTGTTGTTTTCTTGCGTTTGCCTTGACCATTTGAGTTTGACTCGAGCTGATCACAGAGAGGCAGATACCCAACCGCTGGGTCAGTTCTTTCTGGTCGCGGTGCGGCTCAGGATGAGATACCATCAACAGAATCGCTTGAGCAGTAGCGAGTCGGTCGTCTTCGCATTCGAGATCGAGAAGCACCTGCACAGATGAGTTTGGACCTAACGTGGTCGGGGCAGGGGGAGAGAGGTACCTTCACTTTGCAGGATAGACTCTCTCGGAAAACACTGCGCGAAGGATATCCCTCGACACGGATATAACACACATCGACAAAAGCTGATGCAGCAAACAGCACGGCGTGAAATAGCAACAGACCGATCCGATGAGAATCATTATCACCGGCGACAGCTGATAGAAATTCATGCAGTCCCAAGATAGGCATGTGCGGATGAACCCAGAGCAGATAACTCTTCAGCAGTTCGTTCCGGAGCATGTCGCTGGGGAGGTCAAGCGCCCCACTACGCCGAAGATACTCGACATCGTCTCTGTGCAGTCTGTCCGGAAGACCAGCCAGGTAGCTCGGCAAGCGGACAGCCGGTGGAGCGGCGGAGCCGGGCCCAAAAAGTTGATTGATGATAGAGATGTGGTAGTCGAGAGGGATGGTTGATAAGACGGCGGGATTCCCGGCCATACCGTTCTTCAGGTTGCATTCTCGCTCGCTTTCCCTGAGTTGCGAGGCGAATATATCCTCTTCACAATATCAGTCATCCTGATTAATACCCTATCTTACGGAAAGTGACACACCGGGACAATATGTGAGCAACGAGTTTGGCTCTTCGGTCACGCTATGAGGACTGCAACAATCAGCAATGCAATATATCTTGCGTAGCTACTGAGCAAGACTCACAGTGTGCTCCCGTGAGCGTCACAGTCCAATTTGGCCCGACGACAGGACGAACACGAGCCTCCACTGACGCCAACATAACATCGCTGCCTGGTCTTAACGCAGTTTGAACAAGCCCCAGACTCGGCAGTTCTTGTACGTCTGGGAACCGAATGCATCGCGGCAGTTGCGAGCCCAGAACGCTACTGTGAAGCTAAGATCGAGGCGTGGAGTATTTTTCAATGGCGCTGTGTGAATCATGCGACGGTCTTTACCGACCGACAGTGACGATCCGAGACCCGCCGACCCGACCGGGCCTGCCGCGGCACACCAAAATGTCTCCGTAAAGCCCAGTGTGGATGCTGCAATCAGCCCGACTCCGAAAGTGTCATTGGTTGGCTACAAAACTCTAAGACAAACAGGGTCAAAGATAAAGGAAATGTGATTGGACAAACGCTAAAAGATCGGTCTGGGGCCCCAGGTTCGGGTGGACGCGGGTCCCCTCGTCCGAGGACCGCCGACTCGGATTACGCCTTTTTGATCCTGTTGCAATTGTGGAGAGGAACTCAATTCGGACGGAATGATCGACGCAGACAGTTTTCATTTGTGATAGTGTCCATGGCTGGTCTCGTTCATGCTGAAGCTCCAAGCTGGGGACTGCCTCCTAGGTAAGGGACATCGAACTCCCTTTGCTTACAGTACCTACCCAAGACGAGGTTCCTGCCTCGCATTGTCAAGAGCATTCAGGTAATGCACACGGTCTTTGACATAGAACTCGACGTCGACCTTGTTGTGCAGGTGTGCCTCTCCACCGTCGAGCGTGCCGGCCTTGATTCCCGTCTTGTCGCTCATGATCTCCAGCTCCGAGTACAGGCTCGATCCGCAATCACCACAGAAAAAGTGTTTGTTGACCTTACCACTGTCACCCGTGGCATCATATGATCGCGGAGTTCCTGGCTGGCTTAGCTATGCGAATATATATCATCTATTGGTGGTGATACCTTTAGTGACCTTGAACGAGTCTCTTGGAACAATAACATTGGAGGTGAATGCACTGCCGGTCCACTTTTCCATGGTGGTCTCAGTCTTCGTCGCCTTCCACAGGGGCATTTGGTCACAGGGAACTAATCATACTTTTTGACAGTCAATGCAGTGGCAGAGGCAGCTCATTAAGGGCTCGGCTTAGATACAAACATTAGCATGAGAATAGGCAGATAATGCGTTCACTTACAGCTTGAGGTATACGCGATGGCACCGCACATGCAGCTTCCGTTAAGAGTCATGGTTGCGACCTATTATTCCCTGTCGTTGAATGATGAACTGCAGCAGAGATTTCAGAATGAATTCCAATCTTGCATCTTATACGGGCAGCGAACACTAAAAATCGACTGTGCTCTTGGGTCTTGGTCTTACAGGCGGGGTAATCGCTGACGCAACAGACGCCGAATTGTGGACATCCGTCTTGTCATTTATGGCGATAGAAAGGCCTTGACTTGACAAGGGATATTTTTGAATATTGAGCTGCAGCAATGGTTGTTCACCGGCCCTAGCCCATTAATGGATATTTCCCCGAAAAGATACTGTCATCACAGAGCGTAAGACCGAATCATCATATCAAGGGCGGTTGAGTGAACTGAGCTAAAAGGTGACAAGACAACCATTTCTAGTTAGTAGAAATGATAGTGCAGCAGATATTCAACAAGGACTACATCAAGAATATATGCCTTCCTCGGCAAGTTTCGGATATCTGAAACTCGTCAACCATATCGACGGAGCAGCACCCCGCCAAGGCAGATAGTTGTAAGTCATTTCGGCGACCCTAAATTGGTGCGCCGTCTTGGAATGGGACCTTCCAGCTGCTCGAAATCCTCGGAACCAAGATGCAGAAAATATTGGTATGTTTGATTATGCAACTATCTTGTTATTACAATCCCAGGAGTTTTTATTCGATGACCGAGGGTGTACTAAGATGATCGATCATTGTCGAGAGCAAACGCTGATGCGATTTATAAGCAAATATCACGTGATAAACACCTCCGAAATGGCCGGCGATGAATGAATATTGGAGTCAATGACCGGCCCGTGACTCCTCACACACGATGAAATATGAACGATCGAATCAATCGGCCCGTGAAAGCTGCCTGTCTAGCTTGGTACGTATAATATCTGCGTATTTCTGAACAGTAGTTGACGTTCCTCCCAGTCGTGCTTCGAAAACACGCTGTGACGGTCAAAACCCGTGCCGACCGGTATGCCGTGTACCTTACTGCTAAACCAGTGAACTTCAACCCGCTAATGCCAAACGTGTTGTAAAGTGCACATTAAGAGATCGCATTTGCATCTACAGACCCAGTAGAAGGGGCGGGCCTCGCCGAGGTCAACGACAGACTGTCGAGTCAACTCCGCTACCGCCATCACAGGCCGCAGCAATAATCGATGCTCCGCAGTCTACGCCTTCACTGACAGATGATTCCACTCTGAGGCCCGTGGACTCGAATCTCTGGGGTTCAGCGACTCCTTTTGCTTCACTGGGCAGGAACCAGGATTCAGGCCGAGCCCTGAAAGACGTTTGGTCCCCTCCGCACACGGAGTCACAAGGTGATCTCCAAGGGCCGGTTCTGCGGGTGTATACCTCTGAAGAAGAAATGTATGTGGCGGAAACGACATCGCTGGGACAATGCAGCTTATGATTCCTTGTATTTACTAACTGTGGATGTTGGGTGCCTTGCAGACAGAATGCCTATTACCATTTTGTCCATCCGTGTCTACCTTTACTCCCCCCTCCTCTGACGTCGTCTCTTCCTCAAGACAATCCACATGTCTTCCAGCCCTCGCATGGCCTGGCCGGCACAGTGGAGCTATCCTGTCTGCCCTACCAGCCGACGTCGTCGCTGAGCCTAGCACTGTCTGCCATGCTGGCCTTGATACCACCTCCGCATGATCGGAATCAATCCGAACCCTGCAGTGTGTGGTTACGACGGTCCTACGCTCAGATCTTTGCGCAAGCTGCTCTCCGTATGGCAGAGAAGGAGATCGAGGACTTTGCAGGCGGCTGGCCAAGTTCCGATGGTTTGGCAGAAGACCGAACTTTCCATCCGCAATTACCAACCCATTTGCACCCGATTCTGGCCCTGATCGTCCTCAGTGTGTATAACTTGTGCCAATGTGGTAATAAGTCACGTATGCGGATGCGCGCCAATCAAGCGATTACGACAGCCATGGATTATTCGCTTCACCAACTCGACGAGGACGCAACAGAAGCACAACGTCGAGCATGGTGGACTGCGGTTTGTGTTCCCTGACCAGAAAATGAACCATGCAGGCTAATGATTCAAATAGGTCATTGTCATGTACCATTCGTCGGCCATCAATGACTCGGTAGGTTGAAATATCAACGTGGACATTCTACAGGCATCCGAAAGAAGCGCTGACGATTCTCAATAGTCGCCCATCATCAACATCAGGGATCCGAGAATAACCACTCCGTATCCTAGATTTGATATTGACTGTAAAGCCTCAGAGGTGAGTAGACTTCGTTCCGATCATTTCCTATGCTGAACCCACGGGTATTTATTCTGTGGTGTGGCTAACATTCGCTAGCCTTGGTCGCTGTTACTAAAAGCCCAGGATGCCATCGTCTCTGTCTGCGCTGTGATGCGTCCACTAACCGCAAAGAGCCAAACCGGCTCACCGGCACTGGATCTCCGGGAGCAGGCCTGTCGCCTCGACAGACACATACTATCATTGGCGGCAGACTGTGACCTGGAGTCGGAAGCAGCGGAAAACGATCGAGCCGAAACCCTGGCCGCTTCGAGCCTGTGGAAGACTGCTTGTGCCATGACACATACGTGGGTGCCTTGGTCGAATCTATCAAAGATTGGAAACTGATTGTATTGATATGCCAGTGCCCGAGTCAAGCTCCATCGCTACAGAGCCTTCTCCGACATTCCCATCTTCCTGGAGAAGCATTGCGACCTTACTTTTCTCAAGCTGGATGCTTTTCCATCGCAGACCGCCTCACTTCCGGCGCAGTCGGATCTAGATTCCATCTTTCCATTCACCCAGAACGAGTCATCGGTCATCTGCTTAAAGTCGTCCCTTACGATTTCGCGTGCCCTAGCAGGCCTACCACACTCAGGATACCTGCCTCTGCGTACAGCAGAGATGGGCGAACCAAGAATCAGCTCCGATGCCAGAGGGTGTACCGGATCCCTGCCACTTTTTAAATGTGCCGTGATGCAGGCCTCCTACGTGTTGTATATGCTGGTGCACCGGCTCCGGGCAGCGCTGTCATCAAAACGCCTTTCGGTCTGCTATCCACTTCTAAACCACCCGGAGCCTGTGACCGAAATTCAAGACGCTAAGCGATTGATAGAGGAGCTCCGCAACGGGGCTCATTCTATGATTGGCTGCATGAAGCGGGATATGATCTTTGAAGGCATTGGCGACATGATACGTGATCTCGACGCAGCCTATTTCTCTCTGTTTCCGAACTAGGTCACTTTATGCGGGGTAAATCTCCTTCTAATCCTGCAATAGAGAGCGCTAGACGCTTCACCATCAGCTGAACGTGGGACGGATCTCCTGCTCCCAGTCAAAACTCTCCAGTAAGGCCATGAAATCAACGTCATCTCCTATCGTTATTCCGTTGATGGAAGGATCAGGAAAGGCTTGCTCTGTCGTTGGGGATAAAACACGATCGAGGACTTGTCTGATGAGCATCTGCCCTTGCAACGCAATCTCATAATCCCCCTCGTGTTGCTGGATGAAGGTGTCTGTATGCGAGATGAAGACGCTCAGCTTCTGAATGATCTCCGAGCGAGGAAACGGTGCAGAAGAGAGCACTGGCTCAAGTGTGGGCTGGGAATGTCGGAGTAGTTCGGTCGCTAAGGCACCTGCAGCAGGAAGGCCGACATAGCAAAGCTGTGTACGATCAGCGGTTGATCAACAGTGACGGGGTAGAACTCTTACATCGTAGGTCGTCAACATGTGAATCTTGAGGGCTCGCATCTGTATCGACACCAAGTCAAGTAAACAAGTGATGATCTCCAAAGAGACTTTGATCAGTGCATCATGACCCTTGCCTGTTCGTTTGACAAGAGTCGAATAGATTAGGAAGTCCTGGTGCAGAAACTCCAGATGCAAGCTTGCAAGCTCCGGATTGGTCGACTCAGGGCCCCATTGCAGGAAGGCGGGCAGTTCAGAGCGCCATTGGCGTGCTCTCTTAAGGACTCTCCTGTCGAGCTATTATCAGTACCGGAGCTTGGTCCCATGACGTGCAGCGGTGGAAGCACTCACTCAGCATGTTCTTCCACATTGTCGCGTCCCTGGCCAATTGACAACTCCAGTATATCCTCTCGAATCAAACAGGCAAGATGGATGGTACGTGCTCTTGCGCCGCTGCCCAGTTTCCCCTCTGTATTCCAGCCTTGCGCATCCAGCTTCTGCAGTGCAGCCTGCCGCACGGTGGGAGCGGCGATCAACTCTTCCCAGGTCAGGTCCAGCGGCGACTGGATATTGCAGTACTGTTTGCATATCCGGGGCGGCCTACCGAGGAACAGCGCCAGGTCTTTGTCCATGCCGTATGCCCCGATCATGATCCTCTTCCGCGACTCGGACAGGAAAAAGGGAATGTTTTTGTCGTCTCCCGCCTGATGAAGGCCCAGAGCAAAGAGAATCGTAGTAAGATCACCGAGTTTCTGCCAGGTTCTGTAATCTGTCCTTTTCATCAGTCTAAATTCTGATTTTCTCCAACCGAGCACAAAACTTACCGCCCGTGCCATACGTGTGATGGACCAAGACCGAGTGCTGAAGTATTGCGCAGCAAAGACTATCGCTGATCATTCCCAATTTATCACATAACTGTAGACAAATATCGCTCGCTGCCAGCGCAATCCGCCGTAGCCCCTTTCTATCCTTGCCAGGGAGGTTTCCGCTCTGGAAGATCGGATCATCATGCGCAACGTGATAGATCGCATAGCCGATCGAAGAGAGGAGAAGCGCATAGGTGTCCCATCGAGCGGCACTCAGCGCTACATACTCCGACAGCATCATCGAAGCCCGCAACTGGATTTCTGTAGCTGTATTGCGGAAAAAAGTCCTCGACAGCTCCAGCACACAGGCGTACTTGTCCTGCATACCCTCCGTAGCATCCCGATACAGATCTCGGAGGACCTCGATTATGCACCGGAACATCTGCGTGCTGAAGATCCATCCCTCCCACATAGCAAACCGCTTCTCCAGAAGCTCCTCAAACAGCGGCAAGTGATCCAAGAGTAGTAACACCTGCGCCCCCAGCTCCACCTGTCTCGAGTCAACCGCCGCTGCGATCGATCCCGAAGCGAAACTCCCGCTGTCTCGCGGCCGCATCGCGTGGTCCAAGACGGCAGCATACCCCGTGACGTTGTCGGAGTAGCTAGTCAGGCCCAGAAAGCCGGGGTTGGCAAATGGTCGCTTCTCCCATGCATGGGACTCGCCAATCGTCAGGGGTGACGCAGAGACCGATGCGGATACGGACACAGACGCGGCGTGAATGCCGACGGGGGAGACACTCGCATTGACGCTGACGTTTGCGTTCGGGCTCTGGCTCTGGCTTGGACCATGGGTTAGTTTTTGCCTGGGTTTTCGAATCGCTGCTGCCTTGCTCCCGCGGGGTTTTGTGAGGGCAGAAGGGCGATGCGCTGCTGAGGATCCAGAGACTGTGGAGGATACAGACAAGTCGCGGATGCTATCATGGTTTTTGCTCTGTGCTGTTGCATTGCTTTGGCGGGGTTTTGTGAGGGGGGAAGGGTGATAAAAGCACTCCTCTGTTCGACCCCGGCGGACGCAGCGGTTACATATCGGCCTCGTATGGTCGCACCCCAGTTTCGATTTCCTGCACGGCTCGCAGGAGGGGAGCTGGCCGTTGCGACGTTTTGGTTCCATGTTCTCTGGATGGTTTGTGGATGCAACTGGTGGTTCAGTTAACTAGTAGATTTGACAATAATTAGTAGGACGGTGTCCCCAGGCCAGTTCGCCGCCGAATCGGGAATAGTCTGACACGAGCGAGAATCAACACCATCTTCATCATCTTCATCATCTCATCATACTACTTCGCCAAGTCTCCCAACACTTTTGTCTTTATTCCGGTTGACGATTGATCGTATTATCTTCCAAAACATGGAGCCAGCCCAGACCCAGCTAGCTCGGCCTCTTCCACCTCTGCGCCTGAACGCTGGGACTTCAAATCCATCGATGAGATATGAGGGGTTGGGGAGGTTTTAGGTGGTGAATGTTCAGAAACAGATGATTCGATATCCCTACCTTACTAGATGATGATACAATATCGATACTATGATCGCACCGCAGTTTGGATTTGCAGCATGGCTTGCAGGAGGGGAGTTGACCGTTGTGTCGGGTTGTTGTCATATCGGTCTTTGAAAGATTCATTGATGAACGGAGTGGGTATGAGTGTAGTCGGAGTTCGATACGAACTCCGAGGAAAGCCTAGTTCCCGTGTTAACTCCGAAGAAAAAATGGCGATGCCTGCAATGATATCTGTATGCCTGGGGACAGCTGGAATATAAATATGTCCATGATTCACGGTCTGAAGACACAGACTGCTATCTACAATCGGCGAAAGGACACAGATCAGCTGCCTACGTCTTCATCATGCCTCTCTCCCTCTCAAACCCCTTCAAATCATCCAAATCGCAGCGTCAGACGACGGAGAAAGCTCAGAAGTCTGTCAAGGACGACTCGTCATCTGTCTACAGCAATGCTGCCACGCTGGTGGCTGGCAAAGAACAGTCAGCAAAGGCGACCCGGGACCCTCAACACCAGAGGGGTATCGACTTTAGTTCTACGCGATATAGTATGGCTCCTTCCCTGATGCTCGCTTTCGACGACTTGACTGATCATGAATGCTAATATTTGCATCAATATAGCCCCGATGGGAATGTGCCCTCGTTCCTAAACCAAAGTGACTACCTTATGTTCGATGAATGGATGAGGTGGAATAGATGCGGCCTAACGAAGGATGATTGATGACATGTTACTTCTGCTGTGGAGCTCATACTACAGCTCTATTCATAATGATATACTATTTCTACTAAACACGGCATGCTGCTTGTAAATACTCCTGACTCACTTCTCTGGGTCCTAGAGTATACATGCCAGGGAAGGATGGAGGGCTTGGATATCTAGCCAAGCAATGTAATGACAGCTTTATCAAGTCTATACATTCAGCCGACTGCTATTTTCTCCAACCACTGGTAACTTTCAGCTGGATTGGTCTAGAACAAAGTCAGCATCAACCCCGAATGGCGCCACATCAATCGGCAACTGTAAGCCGAGGTATCCCAGTCCGCAACGCGGGGTATGCGGACGATCACCTGGAGGGCTTCGAATAGAAATACTCGAAGGGCAACTATACACCTCAATCACCAACCAAGAACAGAGAATCACACAAAAATGCAAGCAGTAATATTCAACGGCCCATTGGAGGTCACACTGGAAACGCGCCCTATCCCGCAGATCCAAGATCCCACAGACGCAATCATCAAAGTCCGCTACACGGCACTATGTGGCAGGTCAGGCCCCTCCACTCCCTTCGAAACATTTTACAATAACGAGAGAGATGCAGTGAACTCCACGTCTTCCGCGGCCACCAACCCTCCAGCACAGGCTTCATAATGGGCCACGAATTCACCGGCGAGGTCGTCGAAACCGGCCCCGCAGTCCAGAACTTCAAAAAGGGCGATCGAGTCGTCTCTCCCTTCACCATCAGCTGCGGCGAATGCTTCTACTGCGCCCGGGGATGTTCCTCGCGCTGCGCCAAGGGGAAGCTGTTCGGCTCTGCGGTGCTGGATGGCGGACAGGCGGAGTATGTGCGTGTCCCGTTTGCGGATGGCACGCTGGTCGCGGCGCCGGCCGCCGTCGATGAGAAGAAGTTGGTTCTCATGGCTGATATTTTCCCGACGGGGTACTTTGCTGCGAGGAATGCGTTTCGGGGGTGGGATGAGGAGGTTGTGCGGGGGAGTACGGTCGTGCTGTTTGGGTGTGGGCCTGTGGGATTGTGTGCGCTCATCAGTGCGTTGGAGCATCGGCCTGCAGCTTTGATCGCCGTGGATAGTGTGCCGGATAGACTGGAGCGAGCGAGGAGTTTGGGGGCGGAGGCGTGGAATTTCCAGACGGATGCGCAGGGGCTGCGGGAGAGGGTGCTTGAGTTGACGGAGGGGCGGGGGGCGGATGTAGCTATTGAGGTTGTCGGGCATAGCAGCGCGCTGCGGATGGCATTTGAGTTACTGAGGCCGTGGGGGCGTATCTCGAGTGTGGGTGTGCATAATGGGGAGATCCCCTGGACGGGGAACGAGGCGTATGGGAAGAATCTGCAGATTCAGATGGGCAGGTGTCCTGTCCGGAGCATCTTTAGGGATGCGTTGGAGTTGCTGGTGAAGAAACAGGATTCACTTGAGTGTGTATGCAGTTTCCTTCTGATGGCACGGCTGACCATCTCTAGGTTCATGGCTGCTGATATTCGACCGCTGTCGGAAGCTATCGCAGCGTAAGTCTTTCGCTTATGTTCTCGACCATGCTAACAGCTGCAGGTACGATGACTTTAATCAGATGAAATCCCAGAAGATCATCTTTGAAGCCGGAAAGTGATAGCAGTAGTGTCATTTGACCGCCAGATGAGCGGTATATGTATCTTCGAATACGTATATAACAACAAGAATATGCACATTCAGTATGCCAGTCAACTCCGCCTCGCCTGCTCCCGTTGTGCCCTCTTCTGCCGACATCGAATCCCAAAGAACATCGTCCACCACAAACACCCGGTAGACAACACACATATCAGCGCCAGGGTTGTATACGCCCACCCATGCCCCATGGCGTTCGTCATGGGTGCAATGGCCGCCGACGCCCCAGCACCCAACTCACACCGAAACAGATTATTCGCCGCCGTCGCAGCAGCAGACCGTTTCGGCCACAGATCCACCAAGAGCGCATTCAACACTTGCGACGCGCAGCTAAGACCTAACGAGAAGAGGAATAGAAGGATCACCGGACCGGCAAGATTAACCTTATGGTTCATCACCCACCCGTAGGCGATCATCATGACGCAGCAGATGTAAAAAGCCGGCAAGGCAATCTCCAGCCGAGCTCGCTCAATATTAAAGTTACTGAGATCGCTCTGCTTTCGTTTCTCGACGGGGAGGCCCGCACGGATGGCATGGCGGCGGAAGTTCCAGTCGACTAGGGGCCCGGTAACAAAGGCGGCCACAATTCCGCCTGCGCCGATAGGAATGTACATCAGTGCGGACTGGATATCGTTGAAGCCATAGATCTCATGGAAGGAGGTGGAGGCGCCGGTCATGACGGCGTAGAACCCGGCGAATACCAATCCTGCGGCGAGGAGGATTAGGCCGGTTTCGAGCTCGAACGCGATGAGGAGGGTCGGGAGCGGGTTGGGGAGCTGGAAGCGGTAGTTCTTGCGGTATTCGGCAATTGTCGCTTGGTCTGCTGCGAGTCCAGCTCTCTTGCGACGACGATGTCGGATTATATCGGTGACGTTGTTGTTCAGAGGCGGCGGGGGAACAGATCCGTCACCGACGACTTTGCGACACGTCTCAGGGAGGAACAGGAGCAAAATGGCAAAGAAGACAGAGCTGAGGATTAATAAAAACCAGAAGATCCAATGCCAGTCCAGATACTGGCTGATCAGACCACCGATGATGGGGGAAAGAGACGGACCCAGCATGAGCCCAATCGATGCAAAGGCAATGTATGAACCCCGTTCGGCGGAGGTGATCATGTCGCCGACGAGACCATTGGATAGAGCAACAGTGCCACTGCTTCCGGCACTCTGGATGCAGCGAAGCACCATCAAAGCTGCATAGCTGTTTTGGAGCGAAAGACCGATGTTTGCAGCGATGTAGATGGTGAAGCAGATGATGTATGCCGGCCGTCTACCTACTTTGTCAGAGAAGCCAGCAATCAACATAGGTGAAGCTCCTTGAAGAAGCTAGGCACGTTAGTAATTCACTCAAGACTTCTCATTTGACAAAGCATACCAGATAGGTTGTAACGGTAAGATTGATCTTGGTGATAGATACTTGCAGCGAGGAAGCGATAGTGTCCAGCGCCGGAAAATAGATACTGGAGGAGAGCGGGGAAAAGAAGCCGGCCAGAGATCCCATCAAAACAATGGCTCTCTTCTCGCTGGTGGTGAACACGGAGAAATCCTTGGGGCAGACATTCTGACTGGGTTGTGTTTCTTTGGCGATGGCCTCTTGAGCATCTTTCTGCTGCTCCTTCTCATCCGACATGGAAATACAGTTTCTATGACAGACTGGTGTCACCTATGCTCAGATCTTGTGAAACCAGAAATTTTGCAACCCTGATCCAAACGATGTATTTAAGCTAGACCCGCACAGACTGCGGGCTGCCCCATTTTGGAGGCCCGGTTCAGGGCCGGCATCGGTAGTTGGCCTCAAGGCTAGGACCAAGGGATTTGGTGGAATAGTAGCAGATCTTTGCAGGATCTGACAAGTGGCAGATGAATGCAATACATTTAATTTGTAGAGTAAGCGTAGAAGACATCTAACCCACCTCTTCTTCTCATGTACTTGTGTATATTGCCATTCCTGGTGAGTGACGGATGAGGTGGGGAAAGCGTGGCTTGGTGGAAAGCTTGACTGCTGCCTGAGTCAGTCACCGGCTAATCGGCACATGTCCTTTTTGCCTGAGGCATACCAGCCAGAAGTCTGGCATCGAGTTAACAGCGAGGCCGTTTTTTTCAGGACTACAGAAATCACCAGACTATGTACTACCTTAAGGTAGGGCACTAATGCAGTGAGTGCTTATCTGGCCAGAAAGACAATAAGATCATATAAAGATATTGGATTCCGCAGAAAGATATTGCTACTTCCTCTCCCAGACCCCCATCCACTGTCCCCATGCCACCACTCTTCCCTCAATCAAACCTACAATCTCCGCCTTGGTAACCACAGCCCCCAACTTACTTACAACTAATGGCTCCAACAGCCCAATCACCTGGAAGAAGTATCGATGCGGTCCATGGCCGAGCATTCCCCGCGGAGGGATGTAGATCGTTCCCCGACGATTAGCCCCGTACTTGAACCCGCCCCTGAGGACATGGCTTCCCGCAGCAGTGGGCTTAAAGTCCTCGTTCGATACACTGCACTTGCTCGCAGGAATACCGTAGTACAGACCATGCACAACAGGCTCAGCCAGTGGTGCATCCGGATCTTCAACGACAAGGAGCCACTCTTTGATGTTGTCGGCGATGACCGGCGGCGCAAACCATTTGAGAGTTGGGAAGAGGTCTTCTCCGAAGAAGCTGTACTTGACTGGGATTTGCGAGCCGGATGGTCCGATATCTGGACATCCAACCGTGACTGATGGTTTGGGATGCTCTGCAAAAGGAGGGGTATGTTGGATGAGGCCCGCGTCATGGCCCTTGCGGTTGGCGAGCAGCCAGGATAGGGGTCTTTCAATCCACTCCATTGCGTTGCTCAGACGTTGATGGATGGGTATGATTATGAGGTGGCAATGTGGTCCCTGGTCGATGAGGATAGCATTATAAGAGGGTTGTTAGATGCAAGACACCTGAACCGGCCCGGAAACGGCTTCGGGGTATCCCAGCTGCTGGAGTATACAGAAATCGGCCATAAAGAGTGCTTAAATCCGTTAAGTCAGCGGTAGCTTTCCACAGGAAGTGGCCTGTGTTACCACATCTATGCTAAAGCAATGGATATCCTAGGACATCCACAAGCTAAGGGAGAGTCATTGGACGAAGAGTCTGGTCTCTGACATCTGGACAGGACGGACGCCTGCTCTTTTAAGACTCCCTCATGCACTCTCAACCGAGCTTTTTCTTAACCTGTATTTGAACATTCAAGTTTTCTCCTCGCTCTGTCAGTTCAACTGCTGGTGGTTCAAGCTGTATCAGTAGTTTAAAATCGACAAGTCCGAGGACGCAAGCGGCAGCGTCGCAGATGTGATGCTCATCGTGCTGACTGGCTTATATGTGGTTTCTTGTAGTTGACCGCACCTTGTACAAAACCGTCCGCAGGATGAATTGCTACGGTTTCCGAGCAAACATGAAAGGCAGAGACCTCAAGATATAGTCCAGAATACTAAGAAAATCACAGAATGCTAATGCAGACATGTGATTGGTAGATTGGCCGAAAGCCTCGGACCTCAGGCCTCGGCTGAGTTGGAGAATGCGGGGAAATCTCATGTACGGAGATACGGGGACTGATAATTCTACATCAGCACCATATAATCGGTCGAGAGATCTTATCTGAATTTAATCAAGGACCAGCTCGATCTCGACACTCTGTCAAGCCAACACACCATGGCTGACGTCTCTCCCAACCCCATTCCCTTCTCAGAGCCCCCGTATTTGCGGGGTCTCCCATCGCCATACTACACCGCCAGTCATCGCCGATTCCAGAAAGCTTGCCGCGCATTCGTATGGGAGCACCTCCTCAGCCATGCAATGGACTGGGAGAAGGCCGGTACAGTCCCCGAACATGTCTTCAATGATTTCTGCAAGCATAACATGTTGCTGCCGAATCTGCCCGCCCCGTTGCCCGTGGATTGGCTGAAGAAGCTGGGAATTCATGATATTCTCGGGGTGAAAGTTGAGGAGTGGGATTATCTACATACCGGAATCTACTGCGATGAGGTATGGTGGTCGAGAAAACAAGCCAACAAAACGGAGAAAGCTGATTAGTGATAGTTGGCCCGGTCGGGTTTGGCTGGACCAGGGGCCTCGTTGAGTGCTGGTTTCGCTTTTGGCATTCCGCCGATCATCAAGTACGGTAGCAAGGAGCTACAAGAACGTTTTCTTCCTGATCTCCTCACAGGAAGGAAACGTGGCTGCATTGCCATCACGGAGCCAGAAGCGGGGAGCGATGTGGCCAATATCACCACCACTGCCACGAAGACTCCAGATGGAAAGTACTACATCATCAACGGGACAAAGAAATGGTATCTCTCAGAGAATATATTACAATTGAGGGACGTTTCTAAAACTGACTAGGATTACCAACGGAATTTGGTCTGATTATACTACCATGGCCGTCCGCACTGGCGGCCCCGGGGCAGCCGGTCTCTCGGTCATTCTCGTGCCTCTCAAAGGCCACCCCGGTGTCACCATGCGTCGACTCAAGGTGTCTGGCCAGATCACCGGTGGAACGACGTACATCGAGCTCGACGATGTCAAAGTTCCCGTGGGCAACCTGATCGGCCGCGAAGGCGATGGCATGCGCATCATCATGACCAACTTCAACCATGAACGCCTGACCATCGCGGTCGGCGTCACCCGCCAGGCCCGTGTCGCTCTAGCTGCCGCCTTTCAGTACACGATGAAGCGCGAGGCGTTCGGCAAGACACTGATGGATCAACCTGTGGTGAGGCACCGACTAGCCAAGGCGGGCGCGGAGCTCGAGACCATGTGGGCGTGGGTGGAGCAGATCTTGTACCAGTTGTGTCATCTCAGCAAGGAGGAGGCCGATCAGCAGCTGGGAGGGATCACGGCGCTGGCCAAGGCCAAGGCGGCTATGGTGCTGAATGAATGTGCGCAGTGTGCGGTCTTGTTGTTTGGTGGGGCTGGATATACCGCTAGTGGGCAGGGAGAGTTGGTCGAGGGTAGGTTTCTCGCCTTCAAGGTTCCTGGCTCGAGGCTGACTTGTGATAGCGATTCTGCGAGATGTCCCTGGAGCTCGTATACCAGGTGGATCAGAGGATGTCCTCCTGGATCTGGCCGTGCGGCAACTGGTCAAGATCTATCAATTGGGGGAGAAGAAACTCGCCCAAAAGGCAAAGATGTGATGGCAGGCTGTTGCAATCCGGATGAGATTCATATTATGAAATCCTGGCGAGCGAATCAGCTAGAAGGATTATTTTGCCAATGTATAAAATACTATATTCTCTTATTTCGTAATTCTATTCTCTCTCGATTTGCTTCCGCTACCTGGGAACACAGGACAGGTGCACATTGGAGGAATGAGCTGTCCTGACCAAGTCCTGAGTATAAGCCTGATGCTTCCATGGGTTTTTTCAATAGTCCAACCCCTTTGCTACAATAATAGGATGTCGCATAGTTGCTTCATCCAACCTCCCTTCAAGTGTGAGTCTATAGAAGCACCCTCTGCTATTTATGATATAAAATACGGCATCATTCATATTCAACTTTGAGGTTCTTCTAAATAAGAATTGGATACGCCACAGTCCTAGCCTGGGGTCTCTTTACTACACAAGAAGACTTCTCTTATGTTATTGCTGTTCAAGAGTGAAGAAAATGAGGTTGATTAATGTTTGAGATGTTGTTTATTGTTATAGTTAAGTATGGGCCCCGCCTTTGCCTCACTTGTAAGGGATTAATAACGAAGGGCAGTATTTCCATTGCCAAAATCTTTGAATTGAAGTCAAATACAGTCTCTGCATCCATTCGGTTTGCCACTTTATATTACAGGTCTGCTAGGATAGCTGTATGCAGATTAGCAGGTTGGTATATAGGGCCAAAACAGACACACTTAGGTAAATATGAAACAAATCTTATGTTAGATGTAGGTAGCTGTCACACTCTGGGATCAGTCTCCGCTGTTCTCTGCTACTGCCGCTCATGTCTTTGGGAACGGAGTGATGAAGGCATAGGCGTCTATATATTCCATTTTTCCTGAATTGAACAGTAGCAATATTGTCATGTCTGTTGGATGAGTAAGATGCAAACAATAGAAGGAAGAATTATGTTTATACAGGAGCATCCTTAGTACCATGATCACTTTTTACTTGTTATCATGCTGTTTGAACTATCAATGTGTAGTTAGATATAGTAACCTGATGAGTACTACTTTCTCACATATAAGACACACAATCAGGATGCAGATCAATTGTGTAGGCAGGTAAAGAGAATCCTGGACATGCAGCTTATGTAGCCTTATTGAGGTAAAAACCAGCTCCTTTTTGAGACACTGAAACCGAACTGTAGGCATAGTATACCCGACATATCATATGCTATTCTTCCACAAGCCTTCGCACTGGTAACCGGAAACCAAGCCATCGCTAACAAAAAGAGTCTCATTCCCGTTTGCTCAGTTATAATGAAAATCTCTCAGGTATATTTCGCTCGGAATCAACGGGGGGCTGTTTGAAGTCGGGTCGGCTGGCAGGCGTGTGCTTGCTGATATCACAAACATATTGATGTTCTGTCTCATCAAGTGTCAACAATAGATGAGAGTGTTCGGCATGAAAATGAGAGTCATCAAACATAGTGTCATTCATTGCCACTAAGCAATCAATATTCGAACGACTGTGCACCGAGAACACAGAACTTGCACCAAGCCAGGAAACAACAACAACCAAAATCATCGCTTAGCATCCGCAACACAAGCATTCGACGCATTCAATACAGCATTCGCAGGCCTCTTCGCAAAGGAAGCAGCAGCACATGGCCATCAGACTGGGACCAATCAGTACACATCATTCACTCAGAGGCAGAGAGTCAAACCAAGCAGTCAAACATCCACGATCCTTCTTCTCCTCTGGAGGCGGGGCTTGGTATTGCATCTGGAGGTTCAGTATGGTCCGTTGGTATTTGGCAGTATACGACTCCTACCTGAGGTGGATATGGCTGGGGAGGTGGGTATTGCCCCTGAGGGGGAGGGTAACTATCAAGTCATTCGTCAGAAGGAACTCTAAGGAGATGCTGTGGTGGCTGAGTACATACTATCCTTGTTGTGGTTGTTGCGGATAGGACATTTCGTCTAGGATAGAATAATCAGAGGAACGCTTGTTCAGTCAGATTGCTAGCAACCAGCGACTCCAAGAGTATATGAATGAGTGAAGTCCAGCAAGGGATCAGGCAGAAGGAATAAATCCCCAGCGCATCGCCGGGGCTGCAGCTAGATGGGGTCACACCCTCGCTCCTGGCCTGTCTTGGCCCTGTAGTACAATTCAGGGGTCCACACTAATGATCAATCTAGAGAAGCCGAGAGATCGTAATGCTCCGAGAAGCTGTAGAAGAGCCGAGATAACAGCATTTGATGACCTCGCAGATGCCAGCATGCTATTTCTACAGATGTCGGTAGCCTCCAGCTATTGCTCTTAGCAATCACAGCAGCAACAACCCAAGGTTTTGATATGTCATGCCTCTGTTTGACAAGTCTGCCAGGAGAAACATCACTAGAGGAAAAGGTATTGACTGCCAAGAACCCCAAGAGGAAATGAATGGGGATGTCTCGCCCTTTAGGGCTGACACTAGCCACATTGCTCCACTGGCTCTGATCGACAATCCAATAGTCAGGGAAAGTCAATACTCCACTGCAGTTCCCCTGTCAAAGGAATTGTGTTGCCTGATTTTGCTTCCTCTGCTGTTTACCCCTAGGACAGTTGATTGGATGATAGCCTCCCAGAAGGGTAATATGATTATGAAAGGCTGTGATGAGTGTTGCATTAGCCACATATATACCTCAAGGTAGTGATACATTGATCTAAGATTATAACTATTAAGAAAGGCAAAATGGCTTACTGATAGTGCCTATAGTACGGAGTAGATGAATATATAGTAAGAATGAAGCACATTTCATATTATGGCGCAGGCTAATATCTATAGTAAGACAACAGATTTTCATTTAAATTACCTTCAATAGCTGCTAATTGACTGGTCTTGATATTCCCTCGCACATTAGCACCAAATAGATTTCGTGGTTTGAGATGCTGCAAAACTTCTGGTAACTAAAATTCGGATGTTGAGATCACTTGCACTAAGCAGTCTTCTGTACTGCCTACTACCCATTGACCGCTATACTTTCTCCACATGCTGAACGCAACAAGAATGCTTGCCATCAAGGATTGGAACTGGACCCTAAAGCTGCCTCGCGGGCGAATGATGAACCTATACATTCCACTGGCGGATAATCCCTAGGCAGGAGTACCTTCTCGGAGATAATCTCCGGGCTCTCACTGTTCGAGAAATGACCCGACGCCACCCAGAACACAACAGAACCTGGGGGCTAGATAGTATCATCTGCTATGTCTTACAGAAAGTCATGACAGTAGAGTTCTTCTGATATATATACGGCGTGCTTCTAATCTTGCCAAATAACCAGTTCACCATCACTAGGCGCTATTTGCTATCCTACCGCGTTAAAGATGTCGAAATGCAATGACAATCCTGTATAGGGACAGGCTACCATTGGCAATATGAATAGTAACAGATGTACAATAGAGCAGGAAGAATGTAATCATTTTGCTATTTCAGCCATAGAGCGCAAAGGAATAGCCCAAAGGTCGCGCACTCAAACAGTCAGCAATTCTACCTCTCACCACATTTAAAAAGACGGGTTAGCGTTGGTCAGAAGCTGCTCAAAGTAGGCCTGGGTCCGTCAGTCACTTATCCCTCATTTGGCAAGATGGATAACATACCTGGAACCAAGTACCAGCCTCAGGAGCAGGCTGCAGAGCATCACTGTATCCGCAGTGTGCGTCATACCGGGCGGAAGACGAGTTGGACGTGCCATCACTCTCTCCACCGGGCTTGATCCACACAAAGGCATCCTGGAGCGGATCGCCGGTGTTGGTCGAGGGGCGAACACCAAAGCCGGTGCCGATGACGTTGCACCAGTCACCCCAGGCGCTTTGCTTCGTGGGCTGGACGCCATTGCGGGCTGAAATAGCGATTAGTCGGTACACATCTGAGATTGGGATAAGCACTTACAGGTATCCATGATGAAGTGGGCATCGAAGCCGGCATTCTTGAGAAGAGGCGCCATGGCGTTGATGTACTTCTTCTCGTCGCAGTTGGGGTCTCCCTGGGTGTAGGACGGGCAGGTACTGAGCGACCAGGCGTTGTAGTTGGCGACGTTGGTGGCCAGACCACGAAGAGCCGCGGGGGAACCCGCGTCGGTGTAGACTTTGGCGAAGAGTGTTGCGGCGGGGCCCAAGTTGGCGGGCCATCCGAGCCAGCCAGCATGGCCTGATGAGTTAGTGTCTGGAAGGGATGAAGAATGCGGAAGGAGGCATACCTGCGTCGAGGTACATGGCGACGTTGGGCAGGTTGAGCTGCTTCAGAGCGTAGTCGACACACTCCAGGTAGGCGCTCTGCGCATTGGCGCATTTGGCGACGTTGAGGTTAGTCACCAGGTTGGCCAAGCTGTCGGGTTCTGCAAGATGTCAGAGAAAGGCGGAGCGCAACGGAGGTGTACGGCCTACCGATGACGAGGATGGTGTGAACGTCAGAGTACTTCACCAGCTGAGCACGGATGGCGTCAATGTACGCCTTGTAGTTGGCCACACCGTTGTTAGCAATTGAGTACTCGCCATTACTGGCCAGAGCGGCGCAGTCACGGTCTGGCAAGTCGTAGACCACGAAGATACCGGCGATAGGAGGGCTAGCGCCGGCCTTGTTCTTGGCCTGAATGTCGGCCAGGTAGGTTCCCATCGTGGGCACCTTGGCGGCAACGTCGCTACAACTGTCAGGAATTGGTCTCAGTATTGGGATAAGACGACTTACAGCCAGACAAATGAGGGCACTTCAGCGACGGCACTAGCCTTGGGCTGGAGCGAGCTGGGCAGAGAAGGCATGGCTAGAGTATGGACCTCGGAGGAGTAGTAGGGGTTGGCATAGAGCTGGTAGCCGCTGAAAGGGTTACCGGATGCGGTCACGGTGGGTGCGGATGTAGTTGGACCAGTCGTCGTAGGTTTGGTGGTGGTCTGGGTCGTCGTCGTTGTCGAGAGGGTGGTGGACGTCGCGGTGGCTCCCGGGATACACTGAGCGTAGTCTGGGAAAGTCAGTATAAGTCTCTACTCAGGACGATATCTAACATACAGGG